TCACAAATGAAAGGTCTTGAGAGCCTCAATTGTAAGACTATATAAAAAGGTTAAATGTCTACAAAGCGCTGCTGTCTCTCTTCTCCACGAAAAGCTCTTCGATAAAGGACACAACTGTTTGCCATGCAATGAGAGGTTTAGCTGTTGTTTGTTTTATATTATTATTATTATTATTATTATTATTAATTTGAAGAACTCCTAAAGGACAGGAAAATGATGAGAAGGAGGAAATGGAGACATTGTGGTTTATGAAGCATTTCAAAGTGAAGGACAGTCATTTAAATTTCAAAGGCAGCTGACAAAGTACTGAGTACGACGGAGTATTAGGGCTGCGCTATGAAAATAACAAAAGTGAAATTACGACAATAAAGCCGCAATATTACAAGAATTAAACTGTACAAGGAAAAAGAACATTCTCTTAGTATTACGAGTAAAGTCATAATGCTACCATAGTCATAAAACTCTTGTAACATTACGACTTTATTCTCAAAATATTTATTTTATTCTTACATTATAACAACTTTATTGTTGTATTATTTCAACTGCATCCTCATGAGTTATTTTGATTTTATTCTCGTACAAGTTTATTCTTGTAGTAATCTATTTTTTATTTTCTCTTAATGCTGCCTCATAATATAGAGTAAAATTTCTGTGTAAACCATATGAACATTGGTTTTCGTCTGTCAATGATTTATTTGGACCATAAGCTTTTCTTCACAGAAAGATTACGTAACTAATATCTTCAGCGAATAAAACCAACAACACTAAAGTTTGCAGTGTCTACAGAAAGTACTCAATCCCTGGGACTTTTTGCTGCTTTCACAAATCAATCATTATTAACAAAATAACGAAAAAAAAAACTACTTTAAAGTCTTAAGGCTTTCTGAAGCCCCTGATCTGAACTCTACTTACAATTCGTGGTTTGTGCCATGAAGGCGACCGATTCTAATAAACTACCAGCGCTGCCAAAAAGCTTTAAGAAGTTTGACCTTGAGGGGTTGAGAGGAAAAGCCAGCTAAAATTTCAATCCTGCACATCTAATTCTTGTTTCCAAAACTCTTTGACGAGGTATGCTGTTTAGTCAATTCATCTGAAAAATTGGTTTCAAGGTTTAAGAAAAATAATTAAAAAAAAAAAAAAAAAAGGAATATGGCATTCGTGGTCCTGATGACTGAATGTAGACATGCTTCATCAGTATTTCTATCACATATTGTTCCTCAAAGAGTCTTTGTTAATGTTTTTCAAAAAGTCACTTCTTTTAAGGAAATTTTTTGAAGGAAGTATTTGGAAGTAGTTTTTCTTGGATTATTACACTTTCAATCAAATTATTCCGATCTTATTTGGTTTAACAGCTACTTAAATGCCAAGGTCATTTTCAGAGTTCAGGCTCTCTGTATTTGCTCATAGTAGTTCTCTATTGAACCTACAGAGGCAAAGAAGAGGAAAAAAAACAAACATCACATCCTATTAAAACTCATCTCCTTTGCAATAGATTAAAAAGAATATTTTCATTTCATAATTCTTTAACATTGATGGTATGGAAATAATTAAATACTTTTTTTCTTTCTTGTTAGTTTTCAATGCTAAAGCGCTGTTTGTTCCTTATTTGTGGCACAAAAACCTCATTAATCATCCATTATTGTGTTTTGTGTGTTTCTTTGATTGGAATTCCAAGTATAAATGATGCAATTAAAATTCCATACCTTTTAATTTATCAAGTCTCTGCCAGAGATCTTGTGAAATATGCACTTTGTGTTCTGGTTCATGTTTATGGCGTTGACTGGAACATCTGCGGTAATCACTGGTAAGTATAGACTCGCTGTGGTAAGAATCCCACTCACTACAATCACCCTCTAATTTTTGTAGCGCAGTACCTTTTGTCTATTTTCTTATAACTGTTTTTTAGGTTGTCAAACTGCTAATACACACGTAGACAGCGATGAAGGTGTCCATCTGAATGAGATCAGGATCATGAAGCAGTTAAAATGGACAAAAACAACCTGCAGCTACATCTAGGGGTTCCTATCCACAGCTAATGAAAAAGTTCGATAGCAGCACATCTCTTCATCCAGCTGTGTCGCTAAATTTCCGGCTATTTACTTAACTTGGTCCGCGATGTTAATGGTCTGCCTTTTAATTCTGCTGCAAATTTTTTGTTTTTCTTGGAGGCTAGATCTTGCGTACTTAGCTCCATATGTCAGCATTTTGGTTCCAAAGTGCTGACATATATAGTATTCTTTAACTGTCCCAGAACACAAAACACATACTGGTTTTTCACCTTGAAGTACAGATATTTGTTTCCCCATTGTTCAAATTATTGAAACAACAGTCTGCGTTGCGCATTGAGTTTTCTTTTCTTGGATATTTTCAGGTTAGCTTGACGATGTCTGAGTTTTATTCACTGGCAAAATCAAAAATCGGATTGAGGTGAAGCTGTTGCACTCTTGTGGCGAGAAGCCGTAACGTCTGGTAGCAATCGGAATACACTGGGAGATGTAGTTTATAGTCAATTCGTGTTTTAAACTTATTTTAAGTCAGTCATGGGCCTATCAAACTGTGGGGGGTCCACACAAAGTGACGTGGTCACATGTGTCTTACTGTACCCATTATCTGTTCTCCATAATTCCCCCATTCAGCTGTGTTTGAGGAGACGCATTCACAGCAAATAACACACACACACACACACACACACACACCGAATCCAGCCCTCCATTCTGACCCTTACATTTTTAATCAGCACACTCATCCCTCTTTTTAATACTCAACATCTTTGATGATGAGACAACCTTTGATGGCAAGTGAATTTTATTTGGGTCTGGAAGCCTGCAAAGCATACGGCTCGAGACGATCAGCGCGTTCGTGACTTCTAGGCAATTACTGTAATGATGCAAAGTGGTAAACACTGGGCCAGCACGTAAATAATTTAACAGGCTGAAAACATGCTGCTCCAGTGTTTACCAAAATCCGTTTCAGTGCTTACAGACTGATCACGTGGGAACCTTTCATGGCATTGAGCTAAAAGGAGAGGTCATGCTTGAACTGCTTGATTGTATGATATTTAAATGTGACGGACAATAGCTCCAGCTTTTCTTTGAACTCTTCGCTCAGGCCAGGAGAGCCAAACGTAATGCATCTGAAAAATGTTTAGAGAGCGAAAGTCTTTTAATTGACCAGACTTTTCGTATGTTTATAGAGTCGTTTTAAATGGAGCTCGGTAAAATAAACTGTAACCCGAGTTTCTCATTGTTGGTAAAATTTTGGAATCAAGTGGCGTTACAAAGTGTCCATCAACGTTGCAGGAAAATCTCATGTGCCTTCATGAGAAAAGAAAAAAACTTGAAACATTCAGTTTTACAAACTTACTTTAGGATTGTCTCTAAGTTAAGGCACAGAGGAAGAACATCCGTAGACTGATTTTAATGTTTTGGTTTTTTTTACAGGAATTTTTAGTTTTACATTAAATGTCTTTTTATGCTGCACATTAACTCCATAGAGTCAAGGAAAAGGATTCATAACCCTTAAACTTTTCCACATTCCGTCACAAAGTAGTCTGTAAGTTCAATAATAATATGTGGGGTATTTTTTTATTTTTTATTTTTCATTGAAGGCTTAATGTACATTTATATTGAATCCCTTTTATTCTGACAATCTTGCATAAAATCCAATTCACCTGCCAGCCTACGGAGGTCATCTAGTTAAATGGAGTCCATCTGTGTTTACGTAGTTTTCAGTTTGTCTTGTTATGGCCTCAGAAGTTTGTGAGAGAAAATCAGTGAACACAGCCTGGCCATTGCCTTCCACTTGATTCTCATTTCCCATCACTGTTCCTTGTGGGATTTCTCCCATTGAGCTGGATTTCTTGAGTAAAATTTCAACTGGGCCAATCAGCAAACAGAAGGAGAAGGCTTCCTGCGCTGTTTTAGAATTGTCACTGGGATGTAGTTTTAGCAATCGCAGTGGAGAAAGTGAACAAAACTGCTCCGTTCATGCTGGCTACTCTTCCAAATATTGAGCAGGTAAAGTCGAAACAAGAACAAGCGCCTTGTTCGGCTTAACGTATCTCTCTTCGCAGTGGGGGTTCATTGCTTACAGCACATGCAATTTCTGGAAACGTTAGATTTGGGTAAAATCAGATCCAATGATTTAAAACTTCAACAGAGTCCACGCTCCAGGAAGGAATCGTTTCTTAATAGCGTTTAGTCCAAACCCTCTGGACGAAGGAAAGCGTAGAACAAGAGGCTGTTTTTTTACGAGGCTAGCTTACATGTCACAGCATGGTATCAGAATCAACTTTATTGGCCACAATTTTTTAGAAAAACAAGGAATTTAATTTTGGTTACAAGTGTCTACAGCAGAATAGCATGTGCATGTATGGGCATCTACATCAGTTTTTGTACTAAGAAAATTTTAAAAAGGCGCTTTGGGGTAGTGTAATGTGATTTTTTTTTTCACAGCAGAGCTCAAACCAAATCGGGATCTTTGTTCACGCCCTGTGTTCATTCAATCCGTCTGAGGTTATGCTGTTTCACAGAGCAGTTTCTGCAAAAAACATTTTATCTCTGCATGTTCCACGATTTACAGCAATGCCCTGAAAATGTAGTTCTACAAATTCTTGGCTCACCGAAGATGAGCACTAAGGCATGACACGTTTTTCAGATTTTTCTTTGTATTTTTTTCTTTAAACTATGTATCTCTTTCTTTCCTCTTTAAGTTTATGTTCTATTTTATGTTGGTGTAACAAAAAAAAAACAAAAAAAAATACTAAATCAAACATAAAGTAAATTTGTCTTGTGATCAGAGAATATGCTAAATAAATTAAAGGGTATGGCTATTTTTGCAAAGCACTTTCAATATTTCTTTCTTTCTTCCATCTATTACTATCATTTATGGGCTAAAGTTACTTTTTCCCTATTAAATTCTGGCTGCAACCTGCTGGTTCCTGCTGCTGAACTTGACCCCATTGGTAGTTAATAAGTAAACTCCTGCAGAGTGGCTGAAGATGCCCACAGGAACGTTGGCCTCTGCTGCTGGGTCACACAAATTAACAGTTTCACCGACTTCCAAGTGCCACAGATGGCTCCTCTGAACCGAGCAGAGGCATTAAATGATGAGTTCATTTAATGCAAACTGGAAAAAATTCTAAAGCTGTATGAAAAAAAGTGGCTCAGGCGAACTTTTAAGCAGGCGCCGTATCTGGACACGTTCCAGCTGGTGAGAGGGCAAAAGAAGTAACTGAGAGGTTTGTTTTCTCTGTCTGAAATGGACCCGGAACACGGAGGTTCTGGGGATCAGCTCCTCCATCTGGACATTACCGTTGACGAGCGTGAACCCCGGAGAGGAATCTTGGACCTTCTGAGCAAACTCCGTCCTGAGTGGAAGACGCCGCACATTCAGATGAAGGTATGCCACCGACCGTACGGACTGATTTTAGTCTGTTTCCACTGACTTCATGTGTGATTGTTGAGGTCAATCTTTTACTTTTTAACTCCAAGCTCAGGCACAGCTGACAGGAAGTGATGTAATGAAAATGGAAGGTGATGCTCCTATTTGAAAAAAAAAAAAAAAAACAGCACACAATGAACACTATTCAACAGTAATTTAAGTATATTAAGCAGAGAATGTAATGTTTGCTACTCCATTTGTTTAATTTGCTAATAAAAGTCAGTTGAAAGCTTATACGTGTCTTTAAAAAACAAAAATCTTTAAATATTTTGCTTATAAGTTTTTTTTTTTTTTTTTTTTTTTTTTTTTTTTTTTTTTTTTCCCGCGGTTTTTTTTTTTTTTTTTTTTAGCAGGGGGGGGGTTTTGAGG